GAAGAGCATTTTCAGCCAAACTAGGAAATGGCCTCCATCTCTCAGAGGTCTTGTCATGTGTACCTTATTCTTTGTCCTCAGGCCATACTGTCCTGTCACCATTTAGAGTTCATCTGGAACTGTAAATACATTTTGTCCTCCATGCAAAATAATGTTTTGTTGCTGCTGAGAGCAGGAGCTGTATCTGTTGCGCTTCCTTTTTATGCATTTCAAACGCTTATTTAAAGTAGTTTCCTTTATGTTAGCGCTGTTATATTGGAAGAGAAACATCAACAAACTCTCAAAATACTGCTATCTTCATGTCATTGACAGGACTGCCCATGATGCCAACAACAACTCTGTCTAGTCGGTCTCAGTCATTGCCACTGTTCAGGTGATTTTCTTTGTCTATTTCAATAACTTCACTGAATAGTGCTTTGGTGCTAGAGCAAGACTAGGTTACTTTTAAGATGGTCTTTTGAACATTCCAGTTTTTGCGTGTGAAGCAGGCCAACCTCAGGGCTGATCATGTAGGAAATGAAATTCATTACTCTGGCTGCTTGTTTAATAACATACAGTAAGCAACTCGCATGTCGTCAGTTGTCACACTTCTAGATGTATAGTGGCCAGTCAACAACTCAACAACAACAAGTATTTTACTTTAGACTCAATGCTTTTACTGAGAATATAACATTTTTGTCCAGTATGCTTCATGTCAGTTCTGTGTTAAAAAGGATAGTTCACCCAAAAAATTAAAATTCTGTCATAATTCACTCATCCTCATGTTGTTCCAAACCTGTGTGATGTGCTACTACTGCAAAAAAATAAGATATTCTGAAGAAAGTTTCCAAAACAACATTGGTCCCCAATGACTTTCATTGTGTGGACAAAATACTTAAATATCTTCTTTTGTGTGCTAAATGGTAGCATAAATTTTATTTTTGGGTAATAGATCCCTTTAGACTGCAAAAATTAGTTTCAGTTGTCACAAAAATCTTTTTTGTTCTTTTCTGATATGTTTGATGTCAAGTGTACAGTCTTAGCTTTGCTCCAGAGTCTTATACATCAGATTATAGTGTTTAGCACATCCCACCTTCAGCATTAGGAATGTGTGGGGGAAATAAACCTCGTTTTGTCTAAAATTAAGGAAATTGGGGTTTTGCCAGGGTCAGCAGATGTCTTGTCTCTCTCAGATATGCATTTTTTTTGTTCAGAATCAGCCCTTCAGGATAAATTATAATTCAGATACCTAATTTGCTGCTTGTTAATTTAATTGCAGTTATATCTTCAACATGGTACAAATGTGTAAAAGATTTAGTACTTTTGATCATCATGTGTTTGGCAGCAGAGTTTTCTTAAACTGGACGAGTTGAGTGTCTCATTTTGAAGCTTCAGGCTGGTTTTTGCTCCACTATATTAAGCATGGAATGGTTGTCATTTGTCTGGATAAATCTTTGGCATATATCAGAGGAGAACCGCAAAATGCATGAAATGAGAGTTCAGATGACCAGAGGGTTCCCCTGTCAAGCCATACCTCTCAAAACAGACACTTGGTTGCAAATGGGCCATTTTTATACTGTGCGTATAATCAGTGCTTACTGCTCAGGTGCCCTGTCTTTGCATAAAAACTCTGGAGGAATGCAACAGCTTACTCTGATGTAAAACAAGTGCGCACTGAAGTATAAAAACCTCACCTGTCCTCCTGGAAAATGAAGGCTTTAATGACGTGGGAAAAGCAACAACAAATATTAACACTGATGCACAGACATTTTTCAAAAGAAATCATGTATTCTAATGGCTGTTTTTTCTGGTGCTTCGTGATGACCTTTCTATTCTGGTGATGTGAGAATTCATCCTTTTTTTGTACTTTCCCCCCTCAACCAGCAGACCTGTGCTTTTCTGAGATTTTCAGCACACATACACCAGCAACAGTATGGTCTCTGACGCCTGTCTGTTAAATGTGAGCGACAACATCAGTCTCAGCACAAACACACAACTACGCTGACCCAGTATGATTACAGCATGTGTCTATCTGTTATTTGTTTGTATGTTCATGGCCTTCTTTTTGAAATCAAATCTGAAGATTGTAATGGTTTTAAGACACCGGTGAAGAGATTGAAGAAGAATGCATTGACCATTTAGTTTCTAATTCTGAGATATGGTAATATTGTTTGACCCTCCCATAGAAATGTTATACTCTACAGTGCTGTGATCTGTAGCTCTTGTTTTCAGTGCTGTGACATCAGTTTTTCAAAATCAGAATGCATAAGAAACTGTCAGTTTACTCACTAAGATTGAATCTAATCTTTTTAACTGGAACAAATGTGCCCTATGAATAATTGATGCGGTGAAATTATATCTGATGACTGATCAAATGTTGGTACTCAGTTATACAGTATCATATACGTGTGCTGTGAAGAGTGGAGTTTGATGTCAGATGGAGGGATGCAGTGGAGGACAATATGATATTATAATGTTTATGTTCTTCCTCTGTCACTGTCTCTGTGAGATTTGCAGGAGTCTCTGCAAACGTGTACTATGTAAATAAACATCTTAATAACAAGAATTTGTCTCATTTTTTATATGCAGCTGCTTCAAAGGCATACTGCATATATTTTCAATTATAAATTATGCATCTTCACAAGGAGAGACCCTATGAAATACATAGGATTTACTTTTATAATCATAAGAGTTGCAATGACTTCCAAATTCAGTTTTACAAGTAAATGTATCTAAATGTCAGTAAAGGTGAGAGACTAGCTATTCTTTCTTGAGATTTGTAATCCAAAAATATTTACTTCACACAGAAACTTAAGAAAAGTGTGCAAGTTTTGTACATTTTTGTGGATGAGACTTGGTGAGTCTTTTTCACCCATGCACAGGCCCTATTATTTGTGACATGATTAAAATGACGAATGATACTAAATAATATGCAGTACCTATAATATGAGTTAAATCAACACATTTCTGGTTTGGTGTCAATGAAGGGGTACTTGAGCCCAGGGGCGTCATGCACTCATTATTTTTGAGGGGGCATGAGTTTGGGGGGGTCGTCATGTGACACACAGCAGCCACAACAGCATGTATGTTTTATTTATTTTGGTAACACTTTACTTGAAGGGGTGTGTATAAGACTGACATGACACCTTCATAATCATGACATGACACATGTCATGAATATGAAGGTTTTATTATGCATGTTTATGACAACTGTCATTAAGTGTCATTCGCTCAGTTATGTCATTTTTAATGCAAATATGACATTATTTGACCTAACCCTAACCCTACACTTACCACTAATCATAGCCCATAACAAAGACATCTCAAACAATATCATCTTTGCATTAAAAATTACATAACTGAACAAAATGACACTTAAAGACAGTTGTCATAAACATGCATAATAAAACCTTCATATTCATGACATGTGTCATGTCATGATTATGAAGGTGTCACTTCAGTCTTATGCACACCCCTTCAAGTAAAGTGTTACCTTTATTTTTTCCTTTTTATTCGAAACATCCCCAAACGCATTAACTATTATCATGAAATATCTTGATTCTCACCTTTATAGATTATGTTGATCTATAGTGGGCGATGGTCATCTAATTCTTGCAATGTTTTTGAGATGATAGTATGCTGATTTAGTTACTGCTTTGACATGACTACCGAAACTAAGGTCTGTCTCCAGAAACACACCAAGATTCATGACTTGATTTTTAGTTGTTAGACCCCTAGAGTCAAGGTATGCATTCACCTTGAGAACTTTCCAAATGCAATAACTTCAGTTTTTTTCCTTGTTTAACTGAAGAAAGTTCTGGCACATCCAACTGTTAATTTCATCAATGCATTGGCAGAGGGAGTCAATGGGGCTGTAGTCATTTGGAGATAAGGCTAGGTAAATCTGGGTGTCATCAGCATAGCTGTGATAGGCAATTTGGTTCTTTCTCATTATTTGATTTAGTGGGAGCATATACAGGCTAAACAAGAGCGGTGCAAGAATTGAGCCTTGTGGGACGCCGCGTGTCATGGACGTCCACTTAGACTTATGCTCTCCTATACTCACATAATAACCTCTCCCTTCTAAGTATGACCTGAACCTGAAGAAAGAGGTATTCATTCAACTTTGAGCGAGTGAAGAAAACGCCTGCACGTTAGCGATGACTAATCTGAACACCTCTGATTGGTCATTGCATTCATAAGCTCAACAGAATCGTGTGTGATTGGTTATCATGTGCAGCGCTGTAAAAACGCGTCTGTATCTGGCTCAGCGCCAGTCAGCGATCACAGATTTGAATTTAGCAGCTGATGAAATGACGCACTGAACGTTATAATCACGCCAGTGTGATTGTATTAAATATAGAAAATATTAATCGGCTATTTTTTGTCTTTTGGAAGCTGCATTCAAAATCCACTTGGCTCAAAAATCGGAGGGGGCACGTGCCCACTTTGCTCACTTTGAATGGGCATGACGCCTCTGCTTGAGCCTTATAAGAAAAGATGTGGCAATCCTTGTTTACATCAAATAGCTATTGTATGCTGAACAGTCAATAGATGGCACTCTTTCATCGCTGTTGCCCTGAAATTTCAGGCAGTTTTAAATACAAACTATTATTTATTCTAACAAATACAATTTCTAAATTATAATATTTGTAAACGTCGGGAAGGATAGTTTTTCCTTTATCTTTCTTTAAAAATTGTTGTTTTCAAAAATGTACAAAAGTGTAACTAAACAACACTCCACTCACCTTAGTTATTATTATTAGGCCTATCATTATCATCATCATCATCATCATCTTAGGTTAACTGTACTTCATTCCAACAGTATTTATTTTTTTCTACATTTATTAGTTCGTGCCTGACAGTCTTTGTTCTGCTGTGGCCTCTTTACTATAAAATATTTTTTATGGCTACCTCTTTTTTGCTCTCTGTTTGGAGACCGTGTCTTTTGTTCTGTTATAGAGAGAGAGCTAGAGAGAGAGAGAGAGAGAGAGAGAGAGAGAGAAAGAGAGAGAGAGAGAGAGAGCGCAGCGGGGTGTGTGAGCTCAGAAGGGTGGATGAGAGCTGGTCGCGAGGAGGAGAGAGCACGAGATGCTGCTGCTGACACATTCCTTCAAAGATGAATAACGGCGCAAGAAAATTGGAGTCACCGGCTGTAGTTTGGATAGAGAGGAACTGATTCACTGCTTTCCCATCCTTGTCTTCGCTCTTGCCTCACCTTCTTTTTTGCATCTCGTCTAATTTTCGATGTGATTAAATGGCTTCCGGACGGCGCCGCCAGGCTCCATGCTCACTCGGAATACTCCTGCTCGCTGTGGTCGGTAAGTGTGTGATTTCTCTCCGGGAACCTCGCGGTATTGAGTCACTTGGTCCGCGCGATTGACCGTGAACTTGATCACGTTGCAGTCGGCTTCAGACGCGTTTCTTTAGCGGTTGTGTTTACAGCTGGAGATGAGACTAGGGTGGGTGTGTTTGCCTACATGTAGATGTTACATAGTGAAGCATGATTTTGTGAATGGAGAGTTCCACGCGCATGCTGACGTTATCAGGGTTTCATTCTGTTTTCAGACATTGAAAAATGTTTTTATGTTAACAACATGTGAACTTCACTTAGACATTGTTACCACGTGCTTTGCATTTTTAATGTGGAATATGACCATGCAATTCTAATCATAAGCTATTACTTAAGCAATGTGTCGAAGCAATATGAAAACTCGAGTTAAG